TTACTTCATCAACCGGAAGGAATGTCCTTCTGGTCAACCTTAAGACAACTTGACAGTCTCAAGGCTGGGAGGGATTCCTCCTGGCCTCAAGGCTGTACGGTCTTGGGACTGGGAGGGGTTCCTCCCCCAGCCCCAAGTTTTTTTCTTTCAATGGTCCCAAGCCCCTGGGCTATCCCATAGGACCCAGGCCTGAGTCCTATCAAGGGATAGCCCAGGGTCTAAATGCATATGTATAAGGTATACAGTTGCGGACAGCATAAAACAACCCATCCCCGCCCACAAAATTCAAAATTGACACACAGAGTCTATCCCTGGGGGTGTCAGCCACAGAGCACCTTTCACAGTACGTGAAATGTACCTAGTAACTGCAAATAATAATATCCAATTGAATACTGGAAAAGATTATACATTGTTGTTAAAATAATAAATAAATAAATAAATAAATATGTATTTACATTTAATCTTAATTCATAATTTATATTTAATAATTCTATAATCAACTGTGAAATCCCCTTGAGTATTGTACATATAATATCACTAGGATTTCACAGAAATAGCTTTGGAATAAAGTATTAAAAAAATATTTATTCTTATACATTATGTACATATTTTATAATACATAAATTAATAACATAGGTATAAGAATCAGCTAGTAGAAGCGTGAAATGGATGGGGGTAGTTGTATCAGTCTGACTTGCACTTGCAGCGGAGGGTTGAGACTGTTGAGTGACTTGAAAGTCAGATTCGTCTGCTTCATCATCTGACACCAAAGTTTCTCCCTTCCGCTTTGTCGGTTTTATTCTTTTTGATTGTCGCATCGTGGAAGCAGGTGAGTCGGAGTCGTGAGTTGTGACTGGGGTGGCTGGCGGCTGGCCTTGGGTTTTGCAAAGCTTGAGCGGTGGACAGTTGGCACGACAGGAGTCCACTGTCCAGGACGTGACATCTCTAATGATACTGTGCCGCAGTAGTCGAGCAAGAGGCTGTTGTAGGCTGAAATTTGTCCAAAACAAATTGTGAGCCGGGTTCGTGGGCCGGCCCGAAATAAGAGACCCCTGCCCAAACCCGAACCCGATTATGTACCGGGTCTTCCCGGGTCGGGTCAGGAATTGATTTTTGGATGTGTAGGCTGCCCAAACCCGGCCCAAAACCCGACGGGTCTCGGGTTGGTACCGGGCCGACCCGACCCATTTACATCCTGACATATGCACACTCCCCTCCCAAGCCCCGGATTCCCCGAAAAATGGGAGTTGAAACCCCAAAACCATTGACTGGTTTGGGAGTCGACTCCCTAAAAAAATATTATAAAAAAAGAAAATCCCCGGTTGGTTTGGGAGTTGATCCTCCCAAACTGACCAGTTTTTGGGGGTCTATGAACCAAACAGCCCCCATGGCAGCAGCCGGGAGGAATCCTCCTGGATGATGAGGTACACTCTCAACAGCCAGGAGTTAACCCCTTGGCCATTGAGGTGTGTACACATCAATGGCCCAGGTAGTTTCCATCAGCCAATGAGAGTGTATACCCTCAACAGCCAAGAGTATTCCTTATTTCAGCCATTGAGGTGTGTACACCTCAACAGCCAAGGTGGTTTCCATTTCTGTTGAGAGTGCACCTCAGCGGCCGGGAGGATTCCTCCCGGCTTCTGCCATGGGGGTATTTTGGTTCATCAACCCCCAAACAAAATATACATTTAAGGTAACCTTAGAAATTTTATTCTACAAGTATAATCAATGATTTAAACTTGTAAAAAAGAAATTTACCACACTATGTCAAGAGTGTGGAAATTTCTACTAGTAATATTCTATATTAAGAAGACACATGATTTAATTGGCTATAAATATGCATCATGATGTCATGGGAAATAAAAAAATGCAATACCATGAATTATTCCCCTTGCATCAGGGAAATAATTCTACCATGGTACACTAAAAGAGATATTACACTACAGTGGCGCGCGGCATTGTACTGTAAAGGCCACCTGCAAATGTTATTAGGTCATGCAGGGTTAAACCTTGCCCCCGACGGGGCCCACCACCTGTAAAGAATACATTTTTGGAGTCTGCAAGGTGTGTAGATTCCAAATCTAAACCGGCAACCACTTAGGTCCAGCCAAACAAAAAAAACTCTTTTTTTCACCAGACCATTTGGTCACAGGCCAAATATGGGGGCCTGAGTACATAAATATGTGATAGGCTGACACCATAAACCCATACTTATATGGATGTCAGCTCCCATCTCTTGTGTGACTAGGAGTTGATGAAAGGGTTAGGTCACACTATTGTTGTTTACACAACGTAGTGGAAAGAGGTCACACTCTAGTCAATTAATCAACGCAGTGGAATTAGCCTCTTTAATATACTAGAGTATTTGAAGGGCTGCTCCTTATGATTTATAAGTGAAGACAGCGGAATAACTTTGCTGCACCAGGCTTATGAGAAGAGAAAGGTAATTACTAGCCTAGTTACACATGTTAACCGTAACTGGAGGACTTCTCGTCGACATCTGCGGGTCTCCCAGTTTCGATTTAGAGCCGAAAAAGCTAGATTTCCCTGCAAAAATCTAGACTTTTTGGGTCTAAATCGGAAACTGCGAGGGTCCCAGATCCCACGGGAAGTCCTCCACTGACTAGTACAAAATAGAGGGAATAGAATAGTATGTAATGTAAATGTAGACTAGATTAATAAAACCCCACTCACTTATTGTACTGTTTGTAAATAGGTAAGGATGGTGGGTTTGTATGGTAATCTCTGAGGAAGGAATCTTGGGTAAAGACTCACTTCCTTAAGTATTAAAGAGCAGTGGTAAGACTGCTTGTAGGACCGGTACAGTCCCCATAGTATTATATTATTTCTTTGGGGAGAAATGTCAAGATATTCTATGAAGGTTAAAGCACATTTGAGGTACATCTCTCTTATTTCAGAAGATACACACAATAGAGATAAACTAGACTTTCAGTATTTACAAGAGAGATACACAGGATAAATCTCTTTGATAATCATAAGAGATAATTATCCTTTTCAATCTGAGTATAACTTTCAGGAAATAGGTAAATTAATAAAGAGGTAAATCTTTATTAATTTACTAAATATTTATTAACATAAATTATACACGTAAAAGAGAATAACATTACTGTATACTTACACCACAGGTGCACTTGGGTGTCCTAGGGACATCACACAAAAATACGTCCCAGGTGTGTTCTGCATCCATTTAAAACAGAGATCCACCATCACAACAGCCTCACAACAAGGCTATTGTGATGTCTTTTTAGGACCTGGGATGGCCTTGGGACAATGCCATCCCATGTCTGGACCCAAAATTCTGGGGTTGCCTGGGTCCTGATAGTCCCTGGCTTTTATATTAATTAAGCCAGAGTGCCATACACATAGCTGACATGTCATGTGACAGGGGGTATGAAATATAAGAAATCCACCATTATAAACCAGTCAATTTTCCAAAAATAACATTTTGCATCAATGGGCCCCCAAAGTGGTCAAATGAAAAATTGATTTAACCCCTTTTGGGGCTGATTGATGCAAAAAAACTGGGAAAAGTGATTGGTTTCTAATGGTGGATTTCTTATATTTGATACCCCCTAATGTAACTATATACTTGCAACTAAATATATACTATGTACTTCAATAACAAAACTAAACTCTGTGTTTGATGAAGGCAGTTTATCCACATAACTTTTGACTGAGTGGATCTAGCCTAGTGGTCCCAGTGACTGACTATGGGTTAAATGACCTGTAAAATCTAATAGAGCAATAATATATCCAATATTATAGCCTATTATCAAGAGTTGATCATGACTTTATGCAGTTTGGTAATTGAAACAAATCTGACCCACTACAGCAGCATCAAGACACAAGAAGTCACAGAGAAAGAAGTGACAGGGAGAGCTTTTTTCAACTGGGTTTTTCATGATGCCTGGGGACAGAATGCAAAGCCAAAAGAGGTGGTTTTTTTTTATATTGTACTTGATTAATTAAATATACTGTGACTACACAACAGGGGGGGGGCTTGAGCATTGAAGGGGGATAGTGTTATGAACTGTTGGAGTTGGAGCCTGGACCTCTACATATGTACATAGCTTGTTACATACATGTCACGACTCCCCAACTCGGATTTTGCTTGATATTCACACCTTTTGTATTCCTTATCTTGCAATCTACCATCAAGAATCAGAACCCAGAAGATCCTCACCTACTCTCCCCAGAACACCCATAAAAGTTGTGGTATGATAATTTTTCTCATATTTCTATTTAATCCTGTTATTTGTTCTTTTTCTAACTTGTTTTTTTTCAAGTTTTGGTTCTAGTGTCAATTATCAAACATGCTTCTCATCAATTTTACAGTGTCATTGTTGTAAATTTTTTGCATTTTTCAATAACAACAACATGGAGGATCCAAAAAAAGCCCAATATATAAATGAGGGCTTTTTTTGCTTCTTACAGCCTGTGTTGGGCTGTAAAGTGTTGAAAGGTATTGAATTTTTTGACAAAAATAACAAAAAAAGGAATATTGTTGGGCCAATATGTTACACAAAAGGGCACAGGCAAATGACACAGAATTCTTAGCATTCAATCCCTTGTAGAATCAAAAGAGAGATTCCTCTATAGACCAAAACAATAAAACTATCACAAAACCCATACCAGAGTCAGACCAAGAAACATATATGTATGTAGCATGTATTTTTTTCCAAATGACATAATTTCACTGAAAGCAATTTGAACTAAACAAAGCACATAAATTTGATTTTTACCTGATAGATCCAGGTACTTTGAAGCAATTTAGCTTGAGAATAAGCTACCTCTCTAGCAAGCAAAGGAAAAATGCCTAATGTGATCTGAGACTATATATTTCTTGTTAAAATTCTTCCTTTGCAAAAATTGGCTGATGCAAATTTTCTTTTGAGTTGAATATTGGAATAAGGTGTAATTTATGGATTTCACAAATAATTTCAAGACATGATTGGTCCTTATTGATTGGACCAAAATGATCAGGGCCTGGTTGACCTATTTACCCCTTGTGCAGCCAAGGTATCCACATTTCCAGGACCACTTGAATTGGAAGTGCTGTCAGCAATCCATGGCTGTTCTGATCCACCTTGACCTTCCTTCCCCCTTTTTCGAGCCTTAGTGAGTGGCATGCGGATAAGACAGTCATATGTTTTTTCGTCAATTTCTCCATCGATAGAGGAGACTAGCACCCAGGGAAACATTGGATCAAAAAGCACTTCAGCTGAGTCACCTGGTGGTATAACTATGTTTTTTAGCTCCACTGAAGTGATACCAGTTTGAATCACATGCAGATTTTCGTGTCCTTCGTTTTTGATAAATCGGGCGTATGCGTTTTCATTGAGACGTGGGGGGCCGACAGTCAATGAATCAAAATGCCAGTTTTTGGTCGCCTCATGTTCTACATGGAACATTGTGTATTTGGCATCAGCTGTGAAAACCGTGTTGCTTATGTTGCCAGTTCGGCGGTAGAATTCGCGAAATCTGGCCTGCCAAGTTTTAGCATGTAGGTAGTGTGTCATTGCACGGTTTGCACGGTTTTCTTGTATCGCGGTGAGTAGCGGGTATACCATGAAGTCATACAACTCCTCGTCTAAGACAGCCCCATCATTGCTAGTGGCTAACAGGAAGCGCTTTTTGGGAATCCATCTTAACATTCCCTCTTCATTTTGCTCGAACTTCATAACAGGTTCCCCAGGGACACCATTATAAACAGCCAATGGGCGGTCGTAATGATTTTTCACCTGTTCAATTCTGAAGTTACTGGAAATGCTGTGATCGCTACCCTGCTCGTCCAGATGCTTCGCATTTCTTCCAATTCTGGTGCGATCGGCTAAGAATCGGTTTCCGCCTTCAAGGCGCGAAGATTCCTTTGTGAGAAAACTTGGAGGGGGAGTTTCGAAGATTGATTGTTTCTTCCAGAAGAAAGGGCTCTCGTTATGTTGAGTGTCCAAGATCATGTAGTGATCGGCATGGTGATTATGAGTGACTAGTGCAGGAATTTGCAGCCCCCACACTTGAGCAATGAGTATGGTTGTGACCATACAACGAACAATTGATATCATGTTGGTTTTGTTGCTCCACCTGGAATCTCAAGATGAATATTCAAGCCGTTTTTATTTCCCAGCTATGTTTGGGTGGAGAGTCAAAGAATCTTTCCTGTAAAGGAAGTCAAGATTTGCTTTGGGGGTTGATCAGTTGAACTGGATTAACTGAGCGGTGAAATGAGGGTATTTGATCGCCTTAGTATGCAGGAAGGACACCCAAGAAATGAAAGCACACAAGATGAGAGCAAATTTATAGCGAGAACCCTAGCGGTGAGCGGATGAAAGAGGAGCTGTTTCCGCTGGTGGCGGTGGGCACAAGGCACGTAGAGGTATTGGAAAAGAGCCTTTGTATTTTCACCACAGGTATTCTACACAATGTTTTATCAACGAGTCCGTAGGAAGGTGCTTCAGCTTAATTGAGCCATTGAGACTCTCATGAATCACTTATAAACATCATCAATACTCGTATACAAACAAGGATGTTACTGACATCTAAACAAGAACATTACTCAGTACTATTACCCATATGTAAGTATGGATATTACTCATGTCTTACCAAGAACTCTTGTCTCAAGGTTGAGGCAGCAATACAAGTGGATCGAAGTCAAGTCTTACTTCAGGCCGGATGTCTGCGGTCTATTTGTATACATAATCCCTCTCTGAAAGTGTAGAAATCAATCCAGAAATGTAGCACTGAAGATCAATTCATCCTTCAAAGCCGGCCGGTTCAAGCTCGTCGAATCTAAAGACGTGACTAGTCGGAGAGCTTGTCGAGCGACATCCACCGTCTGGCTCGATTCGATTACTAGATAACTGCGGATGGTCTGATTGACATTATGTTTGAGGATGCGAAAGAGAAAAAATGATAGTTGGAGCTAACTCATCGGGAAAGAGAGGCCGAGCTCCAGTGATGATGCGCTGAATCAATCCTGATGGTCATGGTACATAGGGCTTTCTTACTAAGAGGCCGCTATGCCGCTCCCACTCGGCCATGGAAGTGCCGTCTCGGTGTGGACATCGACCCACCATGGGGAATAATCATGGTCTACTTGGACTAGAGAGCTGGGTTTCGGAATCGTACATTCCGAGATGCCGGCAAGCACGTCTCTGACTAAAAGTGCATTCCTCTTCGTTTCGTGTCTTTTTCTGTTCTTTTTGGCTTCTTCCCTATGGTCGCACCGTATGGCCGATTGCTTCCAGTAGCACTGCATACATGGTATTGCACCAGCATGTAAATAAACACGTCCAATCAATTATTCACTTCGCTTAACCTCCAGCTATGAGTTCTCCTCGCTCCTGTAGAGACATTAAAACTGGCCAGCTGTTGTAATCAGATCAAACAAGGATCGGGAATAAAAACCAACCACCAGCGACGATGACGATTGTAAGCTTGGTTCCTAGCAAGCACTAGTGAGAATATACGCTCCGGCCGGGTTTACAGGAACTGAAATTTGAGGTTCCATCTCCCTTTCCTTTTATATTCATTTTCAATAATCCTTTGATTATGCACTTGACAATAGACTGAGTCCCCTCTGGTTCACTGTCTTGAACAGATTTACAAATGCGAGAACAAGCACTTAGCCCTATCGTCGGAAGTCCTTGTGCATTTTATACTCTGTACTGGATGTCGCTCTTCCTCTTCTCATCCTCGAGGTCTCGACTCACCTTTCTCTCTAAGAAAATCCGGAGCTTGCTTAAAATTTCTTCAAATCTGCCTTCATATAAGGCGAAAAGTGTCAGACTTTCTCCATAACCATATAAGAATGAGCAAAACACCACGGCACTTTCCAGATCGCTATCTATTTTCACGCATTTGATCGATGTAGCCCTATGGGACCAATATGTCTCGGTTTCTCTGCCGTAATCTCTTTCGCTCTATTTCGTGGCCACAGTGTCACTGTCACCTTATTATATAGCACATCGGCTTTGGAAAATTGCCCCCCCCCCCCTCTTGCTTTTGTAAAGATCGAACGAGTTTGATACAAACATGATCATCCTCATGCAGTGTCCATTCAACGGGGATCACTCAGCTTTGATGAACCAACATGACACTTATGTCTTACAGTTACCGGGACGAGATGATATTCAAACTGCAAGAACTTAGAAGGAGAAAAATAAGCAGGGGCCAATGCGTTTTTCAAGATGGCAAACGGGATATGTTTTATTATATAAAATCAAGCAGGCAGGCCATTCTGTCTATGAAGCGCTAAGGAGACACGTCAATTGATTTTCCAACATTCAAATTTGGAGCAGGGTTGCTGCAGAAGAAAGCTCCCGTCTGAAGCTTCTTACTTCAGTCGCTTAACCAGCTAATTTTGGATGGTTACGCTTCCAATCCTATACTTGATTGAACCACTGTTTTCTTTCGGATACATCCGAGTTTAAGAAAAAACTCTACCCATGAGCAGGTTCTAGTCCGGAGTCTTCTGAAGGGTTTCAAAAGCGAGCTAAAGGAAGAATAGCAATGCATAAAAATCATCCGGTTTCTGTAATTAGCCACCCAGAGCTCTCAGTTGGACTAATCACCAAACAGCTCACAATGGCTACTCAAGCACTCAGTCTCTAACCTATGAGTTGACTAGCAGATTCTACTCCCTCAAGTAAGCCCCATGGTATGGTTGAGCTAGGGTTTTCGAAATCAGTCTCTCTCGCCCTTCTTTAAAGTGACATTCTTGCGGCCCCACTGCCCACCTTTTCAGTAGGAACTCTACCTCCGGTTCAAAAAACACCATCCTATTAATCAGTCGCTTATATATATATATATATATATTATTATTATTATTATTTTTTCCATAACCATATCCATACCTGGTGAACATTACAACCAGTTTTCTTTTTGGATTAATTCTCATCCGTAAAAATGTCAGGAACTCGAATCTCAAGTCGACCCACGCACAATTCCGTTGATGAATTAAAGAATGGATCGAGAAGACGGGCCGAAAATTTCGACCCAGAAACATCCTTGGCTGAGTGCAGTCATCGGGTGCAAGATACCAAACACGGTTCTTGTGCTGAGAACGAGCTCAACGCGCACTACGACTCAGAAGATAAGCGCAGGCGGTCTAGCGACACCCAAAGTATTCCGACACCTCCTGGAACAATAATAGATTCAGAGGAATCGTTCCAATGCCGAGGCCTCGATTATGAGCCTGATTTATGGAGGTCTCATTCCAGCTTGCAACAGCCGATTGCCCAGGCTTCCGGATCAGGGTTTAGCCACAGGGGAAGTAGTTACTCGTCAAGCATTCCGGCATCTCCCGGAACAGTGGAATCGGATTCTGATGAATCTTTTCAATGTCGCGGCCTTCAGTATGAGCCTGGGGAATACACGCCTGACTTAGGCTCACATGCGTCGATTTCCCCGGCTTCCGGATCAGGCTTGCGTCACAGAGGAACCGGGCACTCACGAAGTATTTCAACATCTCCTGAAGCAGTGGCCGTAGATTCGGACGAGTCCTTTCAGTGTCGGGGCCTTTCCTATCAGAGCGAGCCCGAACACTATAGGCCTGATCCTCGCTCTCAAGATTCGATTTCTCGGGCTTCCGCATCTAGATTGAGTCACAGAGGGACTGGATACTCCGACTCGCAGTCGATATCTTCTGGAGCTGTGGACTCAGACTCGGACGAGTCATTTCAGTGCCGGGGCCTTTCCTTTCAGAGCGAGCCTGAACAACATAGGCCTGATCCTAGTCCACAAGGTTTCAATACCTGGACTTCCACTGGTGGTAACACTAAGAAAAATCCCCGAAAGGATAGAAACTTTTTAGGGTTGAGATTAGATCTCGCCTCCATCTCTAACTTCAAGCTCAAAGGTTCGAGATTAATTGCAAACTTTTCTCTTCTGTCTCATCATTTCCATTTTTTATCCAGATACAAAGTGGATGGCACTCGATTTCTGATTCTGGATCTCTTTCATAAATATCTTACAGAGACCGATTCCAATCATCGTCAAGATGATACTGAAACGAAAGCTCCAAACGCAAAGTTTGAAGTTGAGTCGCTGACCTTGCCTGTTGCTGCAAGCCCGCTGTCTCCAGCCTATCCCGCCAAAACCTCCCTTAGCAACTCCGGCGTGCCGATTCTAGGGAGTTCAAAGCTTCGAACTTTGAAACTAGAGAGGGAAAACCGTCAGAAAAGTCGGCTCCACGGTATCAAGACGGCCCTCAAGAGAATCTTGAGGGTTCCTAAGGGTAAAAATGGCTGCGGAAAACTCGATGGATAAGAGGCTCTCATGGACATTATTTCTGTTCAGCATTTCTCGAAATTTAAACGGTCCTTCATTATTCTTTTTTTGCCTTAGATTACATAGAACATTTTACTTTGATATCAGTTTCCATCCATAGAACAATTAAGATCCTCATAATCCTTGCAGACAATTATATATCACATATTTTTTTCACTTCTCTTTGCAGAAGTACTTCCATTCCTTGCTTGTTTCTACAATCATTTCAACTTAGCTTTGTTTTTTTTTTTTACTTTTGACTAATCGTTTTTTCTTTTGGTTCAATCATTAATCCCAATTAAAATAGAGGAGCTAGTAAAGTGGGTGATTTCACATTTTGGATGGATCCATTAATCAGAAGAGATATATTAATTCTGCCTTTGATGATCAAGGAAAATATGGATGGCAATTCCTTGATTATTGAGATGATGTCTTCTTTTGAAGGATATCAAGATGCCTCATTGAACTGAGATGTTCTGTTCTCCACATTACCCACAAGAATTTGAATAAGGTGATGAAATCTTCCTGTTGTGGTACATCTGTCCCACTAGATTCCATTTTTTTTCCTAATTTAAATTCAGGAACCTGTGAATTTTTTTTACATGAATATTTTGTTGGAATACATAGAATTTTTTTTCCTAAGGTGATAGCTGTGATGATAGGAAGTGGTTGGACCCTGGCCAGCATCTTCTGAATTTCCTTATGTACAAAACCAAGATGAAAGCTACTGTTTTTTACCACCATAACTTGTTTCATACTGATCCTCTTGAATGTTTGAATAGGAAAAAATCACTACTACTATATATTAAACTGAGCTAAATATTTGTACTTGGCAAAATGAGTAACACATTATCCCTGGTTAGGAAGAGCCCATTTTTCTTGGAGAAGTTTCTAATTTGTCACACTCAGTAGTTTCTCCAGGTCAAGTAGCAGATGAATTTTTTCTTTCCTCTCCCTTCCACAAGCTTTTCCTCTTGCCTGGTTCATTTCAATAAGGGTATTTGAATTTCCATGGTCCTGAACCAGCTTTGTTGAATGCAATCATCAGGTTTTTTTTTTCTTGTTTACAACATTTCTGTTCTTTTTCTATCAATTAGAGTTAAATTCTGACAACTCATGAAAAAGATTCAGAATTCAGATTGTGAAAGAAACATGCCACATGGGCAATTCAAAAAAGTCAACACATGGACAAAATCACAATCCTTGGTCCCAGTATTCACCAAAGCATACTGCCATGCTGGTAATGGTGAAAGATGGGGCATATAGCCACCATTGTCCCTTTCCATTGATCAGATAACAGATGTGCCCATGGCTTGCCAAACAGTGACCCAAGATCATTTGCCAGATTGCATTTCTGGGGATTTCTGGTTCAGCTGCAGCTGCATGCATGATTTCATCATATGGCAAGCCAACTGGAAGGTTTATTGAGGATAACATACATAAAACATTTTCAAAAAAAATCACTCATTCATTTTCCAATACAGAGATAATAGCTATACATTTCCTTCAATTACCTTTTTTGAAAAAGATTAAACAAAAACACCCCTTGGTGTCATTATCCCAACAGATAGAGCTGCTGTTTCTTTAGATGTGCATCTATTAGTATTGGCCCATTCCATTTTCTGTACACTTGTAATCTTGATCTTGTAGCCACAAAGAATACCAAGCAAAATGGCTTGTTTTTTGATTCATGCAGGTTTTTGAATCAATATTCAGTTTATGCAATCCAGAAAAAAAACTTGAATATATTCCATTTTCAAAAAATAAAATGTAACACTTTCATCTTCAACATTGTCTGGATGGTTCAGGCCATTATCCCAGCTCAAAAACAGTCAAATTTAGGGAGAGAATGAATGTCTTCCTGTGCGGTTTACAACCCTCCCAGAATTGAATTTACACCCCCTAGATCTTAATTTTTGGCATAAAAAATTGTTTTTTTGCAAGCCTGGTGAAGATAGCTTTCATGTGAGCTGGTTGGAATGATGATTGGGGTGCTAATTTAAGACTGGGGAGGGCTTACAAAGCACTCTAAATGGCAACAGGAAGTCCTCCAATGTCAGGTACAGGCCAAAAATAAGCTGTTTTATACCAAACTCAATATCCAGCACAAATCCCTCTAACAATTACACAGGCACCTCTGCCAAATTCTGTACACAGGACTTGTGTCAAGTTTGGGATTTGATGAGAATTTTACTGAGCACTCCAAGCCAAACTCAAGCACCATAGCCAGTTTTATTTTACATACTTTCTTCTTCCATCAACTAATGTTTTGTTGTATGACTGTGGCAAACCAGCCTCCAACAGACAAGTTTTTGGTTAATGGACTGACAGCGGCTAATTCCGGGATATTCTTCTAATCATCATCATGATACAATGCACAAATATACATCAATGGTCATAATAATGGTCATCCTGTGTTGACAAAGTCAAATTCTCATCTAACAAAAGGATGATATAGCGCTTCTAAGAAATTCATATAGGGAAAATGAACGGATCACATGATTTCAACATTTCAATATTTCGACATCTTCTGGTTGATCTTGTGCATTTCCAGTTTTCCCAAACATGCAAACTAGCTATATTTTTTTGTATCTGTTTTTTATTGACAACTGAATGGGCAAATGAACAGCCAAATGAAAGAGTAGAGTTCATTTCATGAAGTTTTTGGTTCCTTCAGGCGGCGTAAGTGGTGGAGGCGATCGTTCCACCGCGGCCAGTCCAGTTGACTATGAAGATTACAAGAAAAAAAAAGCTCCAATCAGCAATTCCACATCAAAGAAAGCTAGCAAGATCAAAAAGTCGTACCATGGACATCTTGGCCTTCTGGGTAGGTCTCAGAAGCGTGCTCAGGGAGTATTCGGAAGGTATGCGCCCCGAAATAATCCCTTTGAGCTTGCAATAAGCTCGCAGGAAGGTTGGCAGTTCTGTATCCATCGAAGAATGCTAGGGCGGTCGAGAATGCAGGGGTTGGGATACCCCATAATGAGGTTTGAGCAATGATTCGACGCCAACCAGGTTGAGACTTGTGAATAGCTTGGTTGAAGAAGTCGTTGAATAACAAGTTTTGAAGGTCTGGTTCAGCTCGGAAGGCTTTGGTGATCTATCAAAGAGGAAGTATTGACAGTCAGAATTCAGACATTAAATTGCGACATCGTCAGAAAGAGGAGCTCACTTCACCCAGGAAGACTGATCGGATGATGCAACCACCACGCCACATGAGGGCGATAGAAGGACTGAAAAGGTACGGTCAGACCACACAAACGGACCTTCGGGAGTTCTTTGAGAAAGCAAATTTGAACTCACTAATTCAGAGTCCAGCCGTATTCTTTGGCGGCTTCTCTCATCAACATGAAGCCTTGCGCATACGATATCAACTTGCTTGCGTACATTGCTTGCTCGAGATCGTCGATAAATTGCTTCTTGTCACCCTTGAAGGCTTCGATCTGAGGGCCACCAAGTACCTTGCTGGCTTTGACTCGCTCCTCCTTGATCCCCGATAAGCATCGTGCAAACACCGCCTCCCCGATCAAAGTGACGGGCATTCCAAGGTCGAGTGCGTTGATAGCGGTCCATTTTCCGGTGCCTTTCTGGCCAGCTTTGTCAAGGATTTTCGTGACAAGCGGAGTACCGTCGGTATCATTAAACTTAAGAATATCCCGAGTAATTTCCATTAAGAACGAATCCAGAACGCCCTTGTTCCAGGTGGCAAAAATGTCACCGATCTCGCCTTCACTGAGTCCAAGTCCACGCTTCAAGATGTCGTAGGCCTCGCAGATCAGTTGCATATCACCGTACTGAACAAGTCACAAGACCCATGCGTCCTGTCAGCAAATTGACTCGAGTGTGCGCCTTGAAACAGTACGAAGCGGCTTACTTCAATGCCGTTGTGAACCATTTTAACATAGTGCCCTGAACCACCTTGACCAACCCAATCACAACAGGGTTCACCTTCGGATTGCGCCGCGGCTTTCTGAAAGATTTCCTTGATGTGAGGCCAAGCAGCCTCTGAGCCACCAGGCACTACAAAAACAAAGACGAGTTCAAACCAGTTCAACTTGGGATTTTGGCATGCGCAATGTTAGAAGTTGGTCAAGCAAGCAAGTGAGAGACGAAGACGAACTGAGTGATGGACCGTATCTTGCTCCTTCCTCTCCGCCGGATACACCAGAACCAACGAACAAGAGCCCTTTAGCCTCGAGTTCCTTGCATCTTCGGTTGGTATCAGGGAAATGAGAGTTTCCACCATCGATGATGATATCACCTTTTTCGAGGTGGGGCTCAAGTTGCTGGATGAATGCATCAACTGCATCACCGGCTTTGACCAGAAGGATGATCCTTCTAGGGGTCTTGAGATTTTCACAAAGCTCTGCAACGGAATGAGCTCCGATGACGTTCGATCCTTTGGCCTGGTTCTCCATAAACTCGTCAACCTTAGAAACTGTTCGGTTGTACGCAACGACGGTGAATCCCTTGTCATTCTGATAAAAAAGAGACTGTAAGCAGGTAGTATGTAGACGAAACTGCTCAGACCACAGAGCGCACCATGTTCATGATCAAGTTACAGCCTGTTTGTAAGTCATGATGGTTGGATTAGCATGCATGATTCTGTTTCTGGTCTTCTATTTGATAGTCATCAATGCAAATGAGTATGGGGAATGAAAGACACTGACCCATCACGCTAAGTACCCAAAAAGATGGGGAAAGAGTTGAGATTTAATTTTTCAAGCAATCCAGCTCAGTCTGACATGATAGCCATGATGATCATGAAACAATGGAAATGGTATGCTTGAACTTACGCCAAGCCGATGAGACCGATATCACCCTGAGGAGAAGACCTGTGATGGGCAAGAAGACCAGGGATGAGCCATAGGGTCAAGTTAGGGAAATGGTAGGATATTTGTGAGTAGAGGAGGGGTACTAACATGTTCTTATTCTGATTGGATGGGTTTGAGGATTGATTGAGATGATGGTTCAGTTGACCGATGCGATTGATGACTGTTGGCGAAGATGGAGAAGAATCAAGTGGCGAGTCAGTCAGAAGCTGCTGCTTGGTGGGCATTGGGGGGTTTTTAATATGTATATGTGGGTTGTTTGGGGGAGTTTTTTCTTGATTAAGGTTTGGTTGATCGATTGTATGAGATTCAGACCGGCTGATCGGAACAACAATCTACAATGATAATAATGGTAGGCAGTACACATCAGATAGTGACGTCATACTCTTTGACTCCGATCATATCGATCAAAGCAATCCAAGGGACGGAAGGAACCGGAAACAAGGATATATCAAGAGGAAAGAGATGGGATGAAGGAAGAGAAAGGGAGAGGGTAGTCTAGAGATCGATTTACAATATTTATGACCTAGAATGAAGTCCGAGATGGATTTGAAGTGGATCGATTGAGGAAATATCTTTTGTGGTCAAGAGGCTGGAGAGGTTGGAGTTGAAGTTGGATGAAAGGGCAGGTGAATCGATCGAATGGCTTGGGCGAAGCAGATTACGTAATACACTTCGGGTCATCATGATCGCCAAAGATGGTTTTTTGGATCTTGCTGGAGCTCCTCAAGGGGGATCCCATCCACTCCCCTTTAAATATTCAGTTCATAGAACTGCAACAAGCTCATCAAGAAGAAAGGAAGAAGGATCAAGCTAAGAGAAAACAGTGATTGCCAGTTGTCGATGCTCTTTCCAACAAGGAAATAAATATGTAAGCACCGGCTGTTGTCAACATATTTAAATAACCAAAAATACTCAAGTTACTCCTATAAAATTTGTTTCTGACTGTGGCATTGTTTTAAAAACATAAATACAAAGATCCATTTGGTATGGGTCATAATGGACTTCTCTCCTGAGTGAGCCCATTAAACCAAATTTTGTCGACAGCTCTGCACAGCACAAGAGTTGGTGAAAAGTTTTCTCTACCCACTGCATCACACCGCTGTAGGGTCTGTTTTGCAGATTATGTTTCATTTGATTGATTTTGTTATTTGTAAAACCCCTTGGGGGCTGCTTTTAGTACGTCACAAGACAGGCTATGACCTCAGAGGGATTGAACTTGTGGAAAAATGAAAAGGAAAAATGGCTGAAGCTTTCCTCCATGCCTTCAGAAGGCTTATTTCGTTGGAAGGGTAGGACCCCAGACAGGAAGGTTTTGTCTGCTTCAAAAACAAGATTATAAGAAAACTCCTCGCATCATTCACTTTGAGCAATAAAGCTAACGAGCTAAAAGAAAATAGCATGTAAAATTGATATTCTTCATGATTTGAGCATACGTACTTTTATTAATCACCCATCAAGACTCAAGTAAGGAGCAGATATGTGTATGTCAGTGCAAGTGATGCTCCACCTTCGGCCTCAGCCGAAGTTTTATCTTCTCAATGATGTCATACTTGACGAGTTTTGACATAGTTTAGTCTTCTTGTAGGAAGTACATTTGTTTCACTCAATCACTCTTCATCTTGTATAAACAGGAATGAAAAAGGGAATTGTTATTTCCTGGGTCTGATAAAACTTTATGCACGAATTTGCTTCATGGAAAGCTTCCACACTTCCACCGCTTCCCAGTCCTCATCGATCCATCCCATGCTCTCAGCCAGCTTACGCAGACGGTTGGATTCCACCTGAGTGGCTTTGAATCCCATTTCAACAGCCATCTGGAAGAAACTATCCACCAGAGTTGGTTCCCGACGTTCCAAGGCAATGTAGATTATTGGTTGTTTCGGTGACCGGGCCGAGAGTATGCTGAGGGTGGTTAACAGCGGACGAATCAAGTCCACCGTGTATACCGTATCCGCTGAAACAATCAAATCGATTGGGGTACCAGGAAGGGCATCACTATCTAGCAAAACTCTTGATTGCCTAGTGAATTCAGGGGTCACGTTCAGATCGTATGGAAAGCCCTGGTCAGCATTCCTCGAAAAGGCATTATTAACCGATTGCCAATCTAGCTCTAGATTCCAATTGAGTTGGCACGGCAAGACTTTTCCGGCTGATGAGTTGTCTTCCATCCACTTGCGGACGTTCGGTACTAAGATCTGAGTCAGTGTGGGCTCAATATCGGTAGCCAGGACTGTATAGCCAAGGGCCGAAAGCGTAATGGATAGTAAACCTATCCTTCCTCAGATCGGACAGTGGGGAGACAATTCAGTTCAGATCGTGCCGTCTTCAAGAGCAGCGGAGTCAATCGGGCACCTGTTCCTGCCCCCACTTCTACAGCTGTTGTCGAGCGATTTTTCGCGCGAGCCGCATTTTTTGACAGGGTGACCAAGAGATAGGCTGAAAGAATCTGGAGCAAAGGACGACACCGGTCCCATTCGAACGGAAAAAAAACGCAAGTGTGAGTCACCATAAACCCACCGGATTTTCATTAATAGTCACCTTGGAAATGTATTCAATCAATTAATGTTTTGGTAAAGGAGACTCACTTGTGAACTAAGCCAAAGGGTTGAGCCGGTTGATATGCGGCAATTATCGTCCTGATTCAAGTGAATTACTCGTTGATGGCCGCAATTGATCGAGTATCCTTCGATGGGTGGCCAAAGAGGGTACTTGAGCAAAGGAAGGTGCTTGGTTTCAGATGATGGTATCGGCCGGCAGAGTTGCGATGAATCCATGGTGTCGGTGGTCTGTGTGAACTGGTGAGGCCTTGCAGGTGTGCACCAGTCGCGGGACACTGGCCAGGGCCGGGACGCGCTGAGGCGGAGGGGCTTCCGAAGCTAACTTTAAAGTCCCGAGGGCGCTTCCGCCTTCGGCTTAGTTAAGTTCGAGGGGTTTCACACCCCTGTTCAGTCATTTACTTGTGTGATCTACCGCCGCAAATTGCGCTCAACGCGCTACAGATTATTCGCGCCTCCAGTAAAGCTCGACAAATTATCACGATGATTATGAACAAAAGACGCAAGGCTTCTCCATCCATATCGGTTACAAACTTACATTAACCAATGTCCGGCGTCAGGTTCACAGTTACGAGCTTTGCTTGGTTTCCAGGCCTTATAATGAGTAGAGGGTTTTGGGCTTCTTGCAACCAACCGAGGAAGCGTCAACTTTTTACCCACACGGTCGCCCACACAACGCGGCTCTTGAGGTTATACATTACAGAGCAATGAGATTTAAAAATTCCTCATATATCTCATAGTTGATCAATCGACCTTGCCATCCGGAGGCAATGCGCACTCTCTGCCGCTCGGCTTGAGCAGTTAATCTGAGTAGTGGGTAGTTGGGGAAATTAGTCACGAAGTGCGTTTATTTAATTACAAAGGTGAGTTGGTCTCCTAGTAGCCTATGAAAACCTGCTCAATTTGAATATGTTTAGCCATCCAGCAACCGGGACTTGGTAGCAGATTGGTCTTCAGATACCGAGAACTATATATGGACATGTGCTGCGCATCTAAGCCGAGAGGTGAAGCTGATTGTTATCCTTTCCGCCTTTTCCAATCGATACATTCTTTGAACTATTTTAAAAATCTTGAAATCGAATAGTCCCAAGTACTGGTTTACTTGGTTAATCGGTTCATTCGTATTGGTACCTCCAGTGAGCTTGTCAAGTTCTGATCACTCTTTCCCTCCGGCATCACAATCGCATGGAGAAACTTACTAATGGATCTCACTTGCCAGAAATTAGGCCTTGACACGGAAGCTAGATTTGCTCCAATACAACATATCTCCTCATCCTAGTTAGAATGTCAAAGCTATTTCACTTTCTCTTGGTATTCGTAACTTGGGCGAGCATCGTCAGTCCACTATCCTCTCAGGGACCGCCCCCACCACCTCCAGAAAAAAAAACCAATCCTGGACAACCATCCAATATCCCCCAAGGAAAAAATTTCGTCATCAAAGTAGGCAATGAGGAGGCAGCCAAAATTTTCTCGCCAGCTACGATCCAAGCACAGGTTGGAGACATGGTCACATTTGAATTTCATGTGATTTAATTTTCTTCGCTGCAAAATTTTAAGAATCTTGTGATCATGTCACAGTCTGGATTAACATACCACGAAATCCGCTGCTGACAAGTGATAAACTTCCAACAGCCGAAGGCTCATACCGTTGCCCAAGCATCTTTTGATAAACCCTGTGAAGTCTTAGCCTCACCAGAGGGAAATGGATTTAATTCGGGAAAACAAACCGTTGAGTGAGTTTCTTCTTGAGTGCCCAAAAATGTTTAAGGAGAAAAACAGTTTTGATGACTTCGATTGGACCCTATAGACTGAAAACGCCAAACAGTAATCTTCCGAGATGGACAATGCAAATTACGAAACCTGAAACGATATGGTTTTACTGTGACCCCCATTGTGGACTTGTGAGTTGTGCCGGAAATTTGAGTCCCGAAATTCGATCTTCCTATGAGCCACAAACTGAATTCGAGCCTACTTGATGTAATTTAGGGAATGGTGGGAGCTATCAATCCGCCTACTTCAGGAGAAAAAACCTTCGAAAAATATGTCGAGAACTCCAAGAAGGCGGGAAGTAAGCCGAAAAACCTAAGAGCTGGCAGCGCTGCAGCCCCAGGTGATCCCGCACTTAGACTGGGTGAGAATCCAGGGGATAAGAATGCGGGTAGATTAGCAGATAAAGCGGGGGGTCAGACAACCGATCTTGCAGGTGCTAAGCCCGGAGGTGAGTGATTATCTAGATTTATTTTTCTTTTATCTTCCTGTCCGTTTATTTACATCTACATCTACATCATATCATATCATATCCACCCCACCTCCAATCAAAAGGACAAAGTGGAACATTACAACGCGGTCCACCAAAAACGGCAAATGAAGTGGCCACATTGAATGCGAACTCGGCATCAGTCGATGGTAAGTTTAGCCGAAAGTGCTCAATGCTTAATGCTTATAAATATCTTGCAACAATCAGAACCTGATGAGAGAGTTGTTATTTTTTTTCCTCTAAAATTACAGGAAAAGATCCCAGCACTTTGGCTTCAAAGGGCAAAGATGGAGGATCAGGCGCCGCCTCTTACTTCATGGAGAAGAGACGAGCAATTCTTTCTTCAGTCTCATTATCAATGATCCTCCCAGGTGTCTTGACCACTATCTATTGATACGACAGATCAAACTCCCAAAATAATTGATTCATTTAGGTCACAGAGTTTTTTCTTTCTTTTCTTTTTTAAGTTGAAAAGCCAAATGAGACGCTGGTTGTAAATTCACTGATTTCTATCCAGAAAGCGTGGAAATTGCTTGTGTACTAAATTTTTAAAGAATTCTGCAAAGAACATTCCTCCTGGATTTTTCTTCACAACTCTGTTATTAATAATTTATCCATTTCAAACTATGGAATAGAAGTTATAAACCCTCGCATCAACATATGCATGTTGCATTTTCTCGTGAAACTGATGCTGGTTAGCAACACTGAAACAAAAATGCTTGCTAAACTTCTAAAGTGATGCCAATATAAATCGTGATATTCAATACTGATAGTGGTAACTTGGTAAGTGAATTTTTTCAGATTCTATATGGCTACAAGGCGATGGTTGTATGCACCATATCGTGACATCTCCCAAACCTGTTATAGCTTAGGAGTTTGAACACAGACTGGCATTCAATTCTTGGAAAACTTAGCACATTTTAATGCTACTTCTGCTGTAGCACTCTTCTAAGCTCTATATTCCTAATCACAGCTTGGAGTGGTTGTTGTCACTTCAGGGTGTTGGCAGTTTGTGCGGTAGCTAAAAACACTTGATAGGATATCAGCTTCTCAGCTGCCAGATACAGTTTCAAGACACTAGATAGAGCAAATTTGTGTTTTCCTGCTTTTCTGCAAGTAATGGTCAGATTGAAATACTTCAATGACCTCTGTTTGAATTACCGATACACCCTCCCTTCTTGCGTGACCCCCCTTTTTTCACCTCGGGTCACAAACAATCCAAATTGTCAGAAGTAAAAAAAAAAAACAGAAAAGCGGGTGAAAGTCTTAGTTGAGTCTAGCAATGATCATAGGGAATGTCAATGTTGTGTAGGTTGAGTTGAATAAGAATCAAGCTTGATTGAAATCCTTCAAAACAAAGTCACTTCCTCATCATATGTTTCGTCGTGTTTTATTGATCCAGCCCATTTTAAGTTTTATGCTGATAACCTCCCAGAAATACATGCGGATTCGTATGCAAAGCTTTTCTAAGGAAGCATGGTTGATTCTATGTAAGCTTGCTTGCAGAAGTCGGAAGGGCATCCATCCATCCATCTAAATAGTTGTTAATGTTTGAAAGACTGCAGCGAAACACAAGACGCGCGGATGGGTGATGGTGCAGATCATACACGAGGGACCCGATGATACCCGATCGAGAGGACCAGGGCGAGAGTCTAAAAAAAAGTGGAGCACGGAGCAGTAGGACTGCTTCTTCCATAAATCCCATCGGAAGCCATCCATCCATCCAACTGGACAGCCAACAAACATGGCCACTCGGATAGTCCGATATACTTCCAAACCACACAGGGGATTCTTGCAGGTTTGTGCTGAATGGCAACTCAGTTGAGTACTCAAATAATCTCCTCCTCATCTATCTCGTAAGCGAAGAACCCAAACCCACACTAACTAGAATAATGATGGGATTCTCAAGTCACTGCGATCTCCATCACCACCGTCATCCTAGCCCTCAACATCTCACTACCCAACCTATCCAACCCATCCTCACAATCATTATCGACCTATCAGACCAGAATACCAACGATCCAGTATCGGACCCCGATCCCGAAATTCATCTATCTCTCCTACCTCAATCCGGTCAATGGACTCTACTTCAAAGGGAACGATGATATCTACTTTGTCTGCTTCTGGGCCTTGGTCTGGCTCACCCTCAGAGAACTCTCGATCCAATTCATCTGGACTCCCGTCGGTGCTTGGTTCGGGCTCCGCAAAAAATCTAGCAAACTCGTCCGATTCGCCGAACAAGGTTGGACGTTAAGCTATGCCACTGTCTTTTGGTCGATCGGAGTGGTCAGTATTGATAGTTTATCACTATCCCTTTTTTCATATTCATCTAACCACATTTATCATTTTTTTTTTTAAAAAAAAAAATAACCCTCAGAAAACTCTGTCAGAATATCCTGATCCGATCTATACCCTAAACATCAGACAATACTGGGCCGATCATCCTCGCGACTCTATCCCAGGACTGACCAAGTTCTACTATCTCTCCCAAGCGGCCTTTTGGATACAACAAATCATCACCCTGAACCTTGAAAAACCTCGAAAAGATCATTACCAGATGCTTGCCCGTTTGTCATCATTTCCTTCCTACATTTATTTAGAATGAATGACTAACTGACTGCTTTGTTTTTTTTTTGGTTGTGTTTTATATTTTGGACCCTTCAGATCACCTGGTCGCTTGTCTATTGGTCTGCTCAAGTTACGCAGTTAACTTCACTGGAATTGGTTTGGCTATTCACACCACCATGGATTTCTCGGACATTCTACTATGTGTGAGTCGTTCAGGATAACCAGCCATACATAAAATCAAATCAAGCGCTGGAGGTGCTGATTTTTGCGTAATTCTGGTACGTACATAGATGGCCAAGATGTTGAATTATTTGGGAGGCGGATGGGCGTGTGATGGGATGTTCACACTGTTTGTGCTTTCCTGGATCGGCACCCGACACATCGTGTTCCCGAAGATCATCTGGTCGATCTATGCCGAATTGCCGTCAGACATTCCCTGGATCTGGGATCCTCCTGAGGGCCGCTTTGCGGCTACTTCCTTCTGGATCGGCTTCTTGGTCCTGCTGTGTTTCTTGGAATTGCTCTTGATATTTTGGTTGTGGTTGATCCTGAGGATCATGTGGGGCGTCATTGTTGGTAATGGGGCTGAGGACGAACGATCTGATATCGAGTTTGTCCCCTTCTTCTTTCTCTACTACTATTCAAGGTCTGACACTTTTTCTCGATCCAATAGCGAAAACGAAATCGAAGTACGAGATATTATGGAAAATGATGAACATAAGGATGATTCGATCGAAGACGAAAAGAAACCGCTGTTAATTAACACCCCTCAATTAGAATCATTGGGTGAAAAGTTGCCTCGTTGCGAAAACGATGAGGATCGTCTCAAACAAAAATGAAAACCGGATTCATTCTTTCGTTTTTATTTTTATTTACGTTTTCTTGAAAAAAAAAAGTTTAGGAAACAAAGAAACAATCCAATGGTGGAAAAAAACTCTTGAAATTATATAGAATATATATCTTCTAAAAACACACACTTCCAAAAACCTTATATCTGCAATCTTTTTTTTTTGTTTTGTTTCATTCTTTGTTCCTTTCCTTAATTTCACTCATAAGAAATTGTTGATACCTTTCCTTGAAGTTATACAGTCACCCATCTCTCCTCCTACCGTGTTAGTATAACAAGTCAAGATAGATATATATGCATATATCTCCGCATTTACATATACAGTCGATCTCTGTGCTTTCTGCTTTCGAACTCCCAGTTATTTATGTTAATTTCAATACCCAGTCTACAATCAAATACTTGTGGATTTTTTTTTGATCATCTTATTATCAGTGTGATTAATAATCCAGTATTCGTTGCTGGGTGGGTAAGTTTAATCTCTCAACTCGATTAATCTCAAATGTTCTTGAGTGTAACTCATTTGGCTGCGGTCGGGTCCGGACGCTTGGAGGTCGCATCTAGTCGAGATCAGAGCATCAAGAGGCTCACTGAGAGCAAGCTAAAAATTCAAGGAGGAAGATGCAGTGTTGCAAATCGATTTTCACTCTAGACTAGAGTCCATCGAAGTTTGCTTGCCAAGAACATCCAGCCCTGTTTTTTCAAACCCACTCGCTGAGCGACACTTACCGAATTTTGAGCAGTCATGAACCAACCAGTCTCCGCAGAAGTAAACAGGTCATCCACCCAAAGGCTTCAAGTAAATGTGACAAGGTTGACTGCTCAGGTCAGGGGTTGGAGTGCTAATATGCTTTGGCTGTACGTGTTGATGGGGAATTTGTTGCACTTCTTCCTCAATGTGTCACGCAGAGCATCGTTCAGCGCAGGCTTCTCTCAAAGCTTGGAGCTAGCAGCGCGGTATGCCAGACACGGCACAACCTACATACAGAAGGGTCTGGCCCAACTTGAGGAGGTTCCTCTGTGTTGGAGGGGGAGCGCTACAGCCTACCTCGCAGCAGCCCTCCAGCTTAACGATCTCCTTCTGTATTCGGAGGGGAGGACTTCATAAAGTTAGAGGGGTCTTCCAGGCCCCCCTAAGCCAAATCCCTCCATCTCTGCTCAGACAGTGCGACTTCATCAAGTAATGGGTGGCGCAGAATTGGTTTTGTAGCATAAAAAACCCAAATCCCGAATCGAGCACCTCAGTCATCTGCGCATTCTGGCATTGCATTTGACAAGCAACATGAAGCCATACTTCATTAAATCCTCTTGTTTGATAGTCAATCTGACCAGCCAACTCCGCCTCGCTCTGCTTCATCCCACCGAAGTGAAGGAGGGAAACGTTTTTCGTTTGGATTTGAATCAGTTGCCTCCAGATGAAGCTTCAATCACTCCTGCTCGCTCCACGTCTTCGACAGGATCTCTGTATGGCTCAAGGGCCGGCCTTCACTTACCAAGGGAACAACCGATGGCAACCATGCCACACTCCTCGATGTCGCCAAAGGCAGTCGTCGATGTTTTCAGGGGAGATCATGCCTCGCCAGGAGTAGAAGTGAAATCAGATTGGAGACTGTCAAAGAGTGATCATTTTACCAGCTCCCACAAGCGCAAAAGCGAAGATGCTTATTCAGAGCAGAAAACACATAAGTTCCACTGTGACGTTGGAGGGGAAAGACAGTCGACTTCACCTGACATCAGGGAAGGCAAAACTTGCAAGAATATAAGACCTATTTTCACCGGATTTCTCGCGCCGAATCAACCACAGATAGGTAGACCCACTGAAGAACCATTGGAAACATTCAGAGAAACATTTGACATTCCAAAGGATAAGATTGAAGTTAAGCAAGAAGTAGGTGAAGTGTTTGATGCATATGACTGGAGTTTTGTCAAAGTAGATCCAGAGCCAGAGGATTTCAATGAAAACCAGAAGAAAGTTGAAAACTTGAAACATGAGCAGAAGCTGTTTGAGCATTTAAATGGAATGAGATCACAGCCAACACCAGAGAAGGGTTTTTGGATCCCCAGGGGTGATCATCAAAGAATTTTTTTCACAAATTATTATAAGCAAAAAAAGAATTTAATCTATCCACGTGAGATTGTTTATTCCCACAGGAAGGTGGCAATCCTGCACATCATAGGGAGGATTTCAAGAGAGAAACTTGATCTGGATCAGTACTTTGGCTTCTTCTCTGAGCTTGAAAAACAGTTAAGATCAAATCTCAAATCAAACAAGAGGTCTTTTATAAGATCTAATGATTTGGAGAATCCACTCTCAATAAGAATTGAATACATGAAGAAACTAACTAGAGTTACAACAACATTGTCAATCTTATATCTTTTCCTGTTTAGGGAACAAGTATATGAAATGGGGGGAACTTTCACAACAAAGATTCATATCATAAATTTTATAAATTTTCTGAAGGAATTCTGGGAAAACATTCTTAACCTCAACCATAATAATGAGGAATTCTTTCATAACAATAGATTTGCAAATCAATTACATGAAGTTTTGAATTTCAGAGCCAAGAAAAACATCAATGATTCACAGATGAGCAATGCAGCAGAGGTCATGCAAATGTCCTGGCATATCCTTGCCTATTGGCTACAGAAGATTGGAAAAGGTTCCCCAATTCAATCTCAAAAAATTCCAAATCATAAATCTATAGTTGAGATAATTCATAAGATCATATTTTGGTTGAATTTTAAAACAATTTGTCAAATGCTTAAGTGTACTGAACTGTACTATCTAAACTGAGGCCCTGTCAATGGCAGCAATAGAATCCAAGCAACATATTGCTATTTTTGCATGGCATCCAATTAGGTCCAGTGCTGATAATATCAATTTTTTCCCCCAGAATTAATGCTCCAAAACAATCACCCAATTTTGTTCAATATGCAAATTGGCCCAGCTCACAATAGCCAGTTCCAATGGCTGATCACCTTGTTAAAAGTTGCCAATAGCAATTTTTTTAGGGCGGATCTGGAATAATCTGGGGGACTGTAGACTACACATTCAAAAATGGATGTGTTTTCAAGTATCAACAATTTGCTCATTACAGCTCAAAAATCTGCTGATGACTGGCTATTGTGAACCGGGATATTGGCCCCATATATGTAACATAGCAGCCAAAAAATATATATATTTTGCTATTTTTATCAAAAAAGTGTCAAAATTTCAAAATTTTTGATGTTTGACCATACAACACAGGCTGTATCAAAAAAATAAAGCCTGTATTGGCTATTATCCAGGACTTTTTTACAGCCCTCCATATTTTTTCTATCAACCATCTGCAGGGTTGATACACCCACAGGCATGTAAAGTATGTGTTACCAATATGGGCATTGCTATTGGCTCACTCAACTTTTTCCTACACTCATGTGTAGTTTCATTTATTTTGTCCCCATTGATTTGGGGGTTTGGTTAATCAAATCCAAAATTTGGGAGTCATCAGGAGGACTGCCTGGGCACTGTCCTAACTTCTGAGACGTCCCCAGCCCCAAAGACCTGGCTTCCCTTCAGCCTTGGGAGTCGTTCCTCCCATTTCTGTTCCCAACAGAAAAAGAAAAGAGAAAAAACCTTCTAGGAAATGCCCTCCAAATCTTGGCAGCCCTCCCGGCCATCAACATTTGGAAACACTCAGAAACTGAGGGGAAGCCTCCTAGCCATTGAAGTCTGTCCCCCCCCCCCCCTGCCAGCTTTTACACATCAACATCTGGGAGTTATGCCTCTTGGCCGGTGAGAGTGTAAAGCTCTCAGAAACCAAGAGTGTTAGACTTTAGTGTAAAGCTCTCAACAGCCAAGAGTAAAACTCACAGTGACCAAGATAATCCTCTTGGTTATTCGGCCGTGAGGGATAACTACTTTCTGTTGAGAGTATACACTCTCAGTGGCCTTGAGGGATAAATCCTGGTTGTTAAGAGTGTAAACTCTCAGCAGCCTTGAGGGATAAATTCCCCAAGGAGAACTCTCATATAATCTCAATGGCCAAGAGGGGGAAGGTTTCCTCTCCATTGTCAAGAGTGTACACCCTTGACAGCTGAGAGGCTTCTTTCCTCTCCACTTCAAAGAGTGACATTCTCAATGGCCAAGAGGAACCCTTTCAGAATCCAGGAGAAATCTTCCAGGCTTTTAAAAGTTATGTTCAATTTACCAACCCCCAACACCCCATTTGTTTTTGGAAAATTGGCTCCAAAACCAGCTGGGGGTTTTGATTTTTTTAATATATTTTTTCAGGAGTCAACTCCCGAACCCCCTGTATGGTATGGAGGATTGACTCCCAAACCTGCAGGGGAAGGGATATCCTGAGACAGTCTACTGACGGTTTTCAAGAGATACACCCTTGACAGCTGAGAGGCTTCTTTCCTCTCCACTTCAAAGAGTGACATTCTCAATGGCCAAGAGGAACCCTTTCAGAATCCAGGAGAAATCTTCCAGGCTTTTAAAAGTTATGTTCAATTTACCAACCCCCAACACCCCATTTGTTTTTGGAAAATTGGCTCCAAAACCAGCTGGGGGTTTTGATTTTTTTAATATATTTTTTCGGGAGTCAACTCCCGAACCCCCTGTATGGTATGGAGGATTGACTCCCAAACCTGCAGGGGAAGGGATATCCTGAGACAGTCTACTGACGGTTTTCAAGACATCCCTGGGGTTTGGGAGTCAACTCTCCAATTTATTGGTGTCAATTAACCAAGCCACTTGATTTGGACCACAGTTTCCTGGAAATCCTATTAATTGTAAACATCAAGATTTTTCTGTTTTCCTTACAAGTGAGATTCAATTTGATAGATTTACCTTCTGTCACTGAGCATTCCAATTTCAACCATAAGTAGCCTCAGTTTCCTTCTGGTCAAAGATTTTTGTTTCCCCTCCCTTTTTTGTTCTTCTCTGCATCAGTGTTTGAAGTTACACTAAATACTTCTTGGTTCCTGGTAATTCTTGCTTGATAGTTTGGGGCCTTTATCTCAATCTCACACGCTGTTTTATGGCCAAATCAGGTACCCAGTACCACACCTGTTACCGCCTGGGGGTACCACCTGTGCTATTTTATTGGGGGCTAATGGTTTTTGGTCAAAAATCATTTCACCCCATGGCTCCCCCTGCCCCACCACCTGTTTAAGTCATTGGGGGGCAAATGGATGTCACAGTCTACCAGGCCACAGGCCCTGGATCCCCCTGGGGGGGCAGTAATTGCAGGTGGTTCCTGCACTACAAAAAAGTTGAATCACATTCTGGAAATGTGAGAAAACATAACATGTCAAATGCGATGTCACTTCACATTTTCAAAATGCAATTCAACTCTTGGCACCAAAAATTCAATTGCATTTTGAAAATGCAAAGTGACATGTGATGTTACCTCACATTTCCAGAATGCAATTCAACCTTTTTTTTAGTGCTAGTTACTGCACCGCTTTCTGGCCAAAGCCATGTACCTAGTACCGCACCCAGTATGGTTGCAGGGGTGCAAGGGATACCCACCAAGTGGTGTGGTAAGCCAATCTTGAATAAAAGGCCCACAAAATCAAAGTTTCAAGCATAATATCAAGCCCTCTGGAAGACAATACCTTCAAGGACCAAGGAAATCCCCCTCTGGAACATTCCAAACAATTTCCAAACATTATGGGGAAAGTAATGATAATGAGTGGAAACTCACTACTTTATCTTTACACTATCATTACGGGTAATGTAACTACCCAGTGTTGTCATAAGCACATGTGAAGAAGAGAAACTAGTAAGTAAAATCAACTGACCTGAAATCAAACATTGTAATCAAAACTAACACAGATACTTTTCTTGTTTTTCTTTTTCATTATTTCCTATCTAATGGATTATCTCCTGCATGTACATAATTCCAACCTTTATCAAATTCATCAATAACACTTGCTGTGCTTGTGCATGTGTCTTTGTTGTTATTGGAACAACTCCATCATCAGGTGTTTGAATTTATCCAAGTATTACAACAGTGGGCCAGCTGTGCTAACTGTAGTGGTAGTGCAGTGTATTGTAGCTAAAATAAGCCAACATTTAGCATAGTGTTAGTGCAATTCTGAAAATCTGCACTAACACTATGTGCACAGGGCGCCAAAGATTGTTAGCTTTTAGCGTAGCATTAGCATGATTCCACAAATCTGCACTAACACTACGCGCATGGGGTGCAAAAAAGCACCTGCCATGCTGCACTACAGCGCTTTTTAGCGGCTTTGTTGCCACTAAAAACACTGTAGTGTAGAGTAACACAGCATAGCGACAATAGCGACGTGCTAACACTACCAAGAAAAAGGTGTGTTGTTAGCGCTGCTACAAATGAGCCTAGCGTAGTGGGCAGAAGCGCAGGCTAACACTACACAAAAAAGGTGTGTTGTTAGCTCTGCTGCAAAGTAGCTAGCATAGTAGGCAGAAGCGCAGGCTAACACTACACAAAAAATAGCTGCTGCTACCACTGCTATGCTAACAATAAAAGGCCCATAGCATATTGTAGCCACCCAATTTTGATTATTACAATTTATATGCCTGTCAACATTCTATTCATCCCAAAGAGTAGTTCCACGGGAGTACTGGGTAATTGCTGCGGGTACCAAATTAGCCAATTGCAAGATAGTGTAGCTCAGCTTATTGTACCAGTCTATCTATTCCTGCAAAGATACGTGTAGTCAATTCATTGACTGATGAAAATGGACAGGTTGACACCTTAGACTGCTTTGTGGTTCAGTGACCACTGAAAGCAGAAAAATATCCAAATTTTTGTGTTCTTGTGTTTAACTTGAACTCAGAAAGTTAGAGTATCACTACAGTCTGATGAATTGTGATTACATAATTTCTTACACTTTTTTTCATGTGTCATGAATAAAAATTTTTTGCACAGTTTTATCATGAAACTTGGAGGTGCAACATGAGACACATCACAATGCAGATGGTTCTTAGGTTGATTCAAGATGTATTGTATAAACTCAGCCCCTATGTAGAGAGCTCATCTTTGCACAAAACCTTTTCAAACCCACAAAAGATCAAGTGGACCTCTGAAATTTTGTCCCTTCCAATTCAAAAGCAACTCCACAACATGAATTCATCCTTTCTCAAATATTTATATTTGGCAGCGCACCTGACCAGTCAAGTCCACCTTTCACTGCTTAGTCCCACCAAATTGGAGAAAGACATTTTCCGTTTTGATTTGAATCAGTTACCTCCAGATGAATCTTTGATCACACCTGACTGTTCCACCTCTTCAGCAGCACATCCATATGGCTCAAGCAATGTCCTTGAATTGAAAAGAGAGAAATCAGTAGAAATTCCAACCATGCCAAGCAGCTCCATGTTGTCAAAGGAATTTGGAAAATTTTGCAAGGGAGATCATGTGTTGCATGGAGAAGAAGTGAAACCATCTTCTGTACTTTTGAATACTGATTTCTTCCCCAACTCCCACAAACGCAAAAGTGAAGATTCTAATTTAGAACATAGGACTCATAAATTCCACTGCGGTACTGGAGGGGAAAAACAGCCTACTTTTCCTTACAACAAGAAAGGCAAGAATCACAATAATGGGTCCACTATCACAGAATTTCTAAATACGGACCATTCAAAGTTATGCCAAACTAATGAAGTAAAATCAGAAAGATCCAAGGAAAAATCAAATCAAAATCAGGAAGTAGAATTTAAACAGGAAGAAGAAAAACCCTTGCATTTGAATCATTGGAGTTTTGTAAAAGTAGATCCAGATGAAGACATTCTGAAGGGAAAAGAGGAGAAATCTGAAGAATTGCAACCTGATAAAAAGCTTTTCAAACATTTGAATGGAATGAGATCAGATGCAAACCCAGAGGAGGGTTTTTGGATTCCTAGGGGTGATCAAATAAACTTTTTCAAAAATTATTATACCCAAAGAAAGAATTTAGTTTATCCACCTAAAATCATATGTTTCCACAGGAAATCAGGGATCCTGTACATCATATTGAGAATCTCTCAAGAGAAACTTGATCTTGATCAGTATTTCGGCTTCTTCAAAGAGCTTGAAAAACAGTTAATATTGAATCTTGAATCAAACAAGAGCTCTTTTGTTCGATTGGATTATTTGAATAATCCACTCTCAATAAGAATGGAATATATGAAAAAACTAACTAGAATTACAACAACCTTGACACTTATATATATTTCACTGTTTAGAGAACATGAAGGGGGAAGTTTCAAAAAAATGTACATCTTAAATCATTTGAATTTTTTCAAGGAACTATGGGAAGATGTTCTCAACCTCAGTAATGAGGGGTTTTTTAATCAAAATGAATTTGCAAAACAATTGCATGAAACATTGAATTATAAAACAAAGAGACACATAAATGATTCAAAAATGAGTAATGCGGCAGAACTCATGCGAATGTCTTGGCATATTTTTGATTATTGGCTCAAGAACACAGGCAGAGGTTCAAAAACCAAATCTGGTAAAATAAAAAACCGCAAAGCTATAGTTGAGATAATCCAGAAGATCATCTTTTGGTCAAACTCTCAATCAATTTTCAAGCTTATCAATTGTGGATTGCATTGAAACATAAAAAAAGGTACACTATCACAAATGTTTCTATAAATTGAATGAATTAGCTTTGTTCACTATTTCATCTACTACTTTATTTTACCATATAGATATATCAAATAATCCAAATAAATACAAAAATCTTAAAACCTAGATTTAAATTATCTTGATTTCAATGCTTGTTAAGAATTCCTACATTCTTCAATATCTCATTTATGATTCTTGCACTTTTTCTTTTCTCATCTTTCCTCAACGCCTCCATATACATAATGTCAAAACCATCAGATTTGGCATCTTATTATTTGCATATCCTCTCATCATAATTCAAATTGTAACATGTTTCCTATTATAGTCAGGATTGCCAAGTGGTACCCATTTTCAGGTACCCGCCTAGAGGTGCCATGTCTGGGTCTGGATGTCTGAATTTGGGCAAAAAAAACAAACAAAAAAACAAACAGGTACCCGTAACCCAGGTACCTGTAGGTAATATCCGCCATTTAGGTGGATAATTGTGCCACAGCACTGATATCCAGATGAATATCAAGACTGCAGGGTGCACACAGGTGCCAGCGGGTGCTGTGTACGGGTACGGGTGTCCATTAATTGTGAAAAACACCAAAGGTACCTGGACACGCCGTGGGTAGGGTCCACTTAATGATCTTTGTATTATGCATTATTTTATTCTGCTCACTATTCTTGTAGTTTTGAAACCCTGACAAAGCAGGGATCATCATCTCTCAAGTAGACCGTAGATCAGCTTCTACTCTTGAGGTGTGTGCCTTTTTGTTGGTACAACTTGCTCTGTTTTCTTTCTGTTGATGATCAAAACCACCATGGGATCTCCTATACCAAGCTCATCTAAAATGAACTAGCCACACTACAAGGAATCAAGTTCATCAATTATTTCCTTCTTTTTCCACCTCTAACTTATTTTGGCCCTTTTTTGGGCTTTGGGCACTTTGCTTGGATTACTTGTATTTGGATTTGGCTAGGTTACAACAGGGTCAACATGGACACCAGAAGAGGATGAATAGAAGAAAGAAAATGAAACGATTATAAATCAAAGAGGAGAACGAGGAAAAATGCGGAGGGAGACCTGGTAAGGGGGAGGTCAAAGGGGAAGAAGCTCATCTCCAGCGATGTTATTCATTGGATCCTCGTGCCCTAAATCGCGATTCATCCGATATGCCTGTGGGAAAGAGGGGTGGGAGATTGAGCAAGAAGATTTCAGCAGGTTGGTTCAAATGCAGCTCGACAGAAATCTGAGAGGGAGGCAATGGGAAGACGTGAAAAAAGGGAATAGACAAATTACCTCGAGCTGTTCCTCTGTGATTCCGAAATCGCCACTGTCTTGAGCATTGTACGAGAGCTCCTCATCGCCTTCCATTTTCTTCCTACGCTTCTCCTCCTGGATAGCATGATTGAGTTTATCCCGATCAAGCTCGCCAACATCAGCCCGGCCATCCAAGCGTTTCTTGCCATCACGCTCGCGCTCGCGTTCCTCGCGACCAAGATCAGTCTCGGCTGCGCGCTTCTTGCCCTTGGCATCTCCCGTCGAGCCAGCGGCGGCCTCGGCGGCCTTCCGCTTGATGTTCTCCTCGATCTGCTGCACCAAGCTTTTCGCTTCCCCTCCATTGCTGTGCTTATCCGCACTAGCGTTTGAACTACCTAGCGCTCGGGTCCCAGTAGCGTTTACTTGGTCGTTCGCGGCCTCGATCCCCGCCTTACCCGTACAGTAAGACTGTTTTGTGGTCGAGTGACAGCATGAAAACCCCCAAACCATCTTTGTGTTGTCGTACCATGAACCCCAGACAGAGCTGTGGTTACCCGGATAAACTGAACCCGACGAATCAAAAAGTTTGAAAGGATCAGCAAGATCAACGCCAATAGATCAGAAGTTGATATGTCGACTGACCATCTTCATCATATTTCGACTTTGCCTTCGCTCTTTCTTGGCCTTTGACCACCACACCCGTCCGAGAATACTCCACGTAGCTCTCGGTTTGTCCGCTGAGGAGTTCAATCGGCACCCGTTCCAAATGTTCCTCGCCACCGTACCGCTCGAGGATGCCGACTTTGCTAGTCTCCTTCAATTTTTCCTTCTTCTTCAAAAACTCTTGGTGTAGTAGTTCACCCTGAGTCGGGTTGGCATTGATGTGGACATCATTTCCTCGTTGTTCGGATTGCCATGCGAAGAGTTGTAGCTTTTGCACTTCCGACGCACCCCCTGACGCTCGATGGAAATTGTCTCCCGCAAATTGGGCCTAAAAGGATATCAGTTCGTTCAAAATCAATGGGGATATATAGCATATTTTGGAAAGACTACTGAGAGAGTGTGTGTGAGGGGACTGACATCTTCGGGCGCAATATCTACTCTAGGGGCTTCCCTCATGGATCTGGTTTTCGGATCATAGTAGGAAGATTCGGTGTCGAGATTCATGAGATACTTCGCAGTATCTTCACGAATTCGAAGATTTCGGACGGTCATTCGAGTCTTAGCGTCCATCTTCTGGCCAGCTTGGTCGGCCGCATCGGCGTATTTATCTTCGTCCTCATCGTCACTCTCGTCACTACTTCCGAACTCCTCCTCTTCGGCGGTCTTCTTCTTGGCCATTTTGCCAGCCCTGGCTACTTTCTTGACTTCCTTGAGATCGGTGCTCTTGTCGAGTTGTTCTTCTCGCATCTTCTGTCGGGCCTGTTCAAGTGCTTGATGCTCCTCAACGACCTTCTTGTGTTCTGCCGGATCATATCCATCCCAGCGGTCTCTTTTCGCATCCCAATCCTCCTCGTCCTTCGACCCGAGCACTAGTTCGTCCGGTGCGATATCTTTGTTCGACCATTTCGCGCCTTTCTTTCGAGGGCGTTCTAGACAATCAATCACTTTATGACTCATCGCTCCACAGTTTGTACACGCCCCCTTTCTGTACTTGGTGGCTGCATGAACCTAGAAATTTGACCTAAAATCAGATTCGGTTGTCTCTCCATGTTAACTGAGAGGAGACGTCACTTTTATGCCCCGGGACACCTGTTCCTTTAGTTTGGCTGGATCCGCGTTATACTCTTTTCCTTTTTGATGCTTCAAAGACGGGACACCGGTATTCATATACCAAGGCGCCTGAGCCATGAATTCTTTCAAGCGCAGAGAAGTGCATTCAGAAATCAGCAAAGGCATGTCTATTCTGATGTAACGGGTTACGAGCTTACGAGGGATGTGAGGATTGATGGCATTTCCATCTTCGTCCACCTCAGCTGGGGCATTACCGGCTTTTCGAGCAGCATCGAGATCCTTTTGACGGCGAAACTCTTCTCTCGACACTTTTCCGACCGCCGATGCTGTTGCCATCCTGATATTTCCCAAGTTCGTTTGTTCCGATAATAGTCGTCTGTGGTGTTGCCTGGTTGGTTCTTGTTGACTTTCGACTTGGGTGGTTTCGAAGCGAGCTGCTGGCATGCGCCTCTTGCAGTTCACAAAGCTACCCGGATTGACCGAGACGGATCGGATACCCGATCCGGCCAGCTCGGTCTCCTCCCCTCGTCGCCCGATCATATTTGATTTTTAGACCGGATTCTAAAAACTCAGCCCCATTCAACAACCCAGAAGGGTTCCGAACCCGAGGCTTCCAAACAACTGCCAGCCCACATTGGTACAACATACCAACGCAAACCAGCAAATCCTGCCGTTCCTCGGGCCCGTAGTTATCCCGCTTCAGCTGTCCTGGATATGGCGATGTCGCATTGCTCCGGTGAGAGGCTTCCGCAGTGACTGCGGAAATCAGATCGAGGTCTGTCAGGGTGATCCTGGAGAGCAAGCGTTGTTAGGCTAGCGGTAAACTGGGGCCTTGCCATGGCCTCGTCAGGGGTTCGACTCCCCTACAACGCACCGCTCAGGTCTGTAGGAACTTGGGGTTTCCAAGGAACCTGCGAGAATTCTTTTTGCAATTAACACGCGAGCCGTTAGGATACTGAATCAGCCATATTCTGCTCTGGTTGATCAATGATGACCACTGAACGCTTTCCACTTTTTTTGGATTGATTGTTAATGTTCTGTTCAAGAGTGGCGGTTCTCTTCGTTCAATCTGAATAGTGAGTGGTTATCGGTTGCAAGAAGATCAGTGATGAACAATGGCAGGGTTAATGATTGAGCTTTTGGTTGCTTGGTTTGCTAAAAACGATTCTTATATGTTTGAAGCTGATCGCATGTCAAATAGAGCTGCCAATCATGAACCCCACTAATGTGTGCAAGCCACACGGTCTCAAGAAGGCTCCGCTGTCAATCAATCCACATGAAAAGTTCATGAAAGGCTGTCCCGTACATAGCTATTGCACAGTATCTGATTTCTAATCATTCTTAGAGGGGGTGTGGGTGTACAGTATCAAAACCTAAACATTTCAAAAATTCTGACTGAGGGCAAACTATTCAGATTTTCAAATTTCTGAGCTAATAAGAAGATTTACCTCGAATATGTTATGCAGTGGATTGTCACAAATTATTAATACTTGTGTAATTTTTGTTGTTTCAATTGATTTTCGTGTGCTGCCTTTGCAGCCTTTAAAACGTCAACCAGCACTTGATTATGGCAAGCCAAGAAGCCTGGATGGTTATTGGACAGTGTTCGACCACCAGAGAAATCCAAAGGTTTCCCGTCCAGGTCGACGACCTTGCCGCCTGCTTCACTGATTATGATGCTTCCTGCAGCATGATCCTGGATTGGCGTGGATTGAAATCAAGAGAGAAGCAACATTGTCAGAATTTGAAAGGATAAAGGGCTGGTTGACCGAATCCGAGGTGACCATGAATAAAGAAGGGGACATGTTTGAGGGAAGAAACAGACCCAAATCTTTTCCTGATAGTCAGCTTGAGTAGGAAATCGTAGATAAACATCACTATCACCTCTCGCGAGAACACAATACTTGGCTTGACTATCGATTCTGATTGGGCTTTGAGCATTTAGCATGTTGAGCTTTCGTGCGATATCACCGGTGACGAGTTGGTTAGAGTGACCCGCATCAAACGATTCACAAAACGTCCCCTCTCGACCCAGGGACCCTCGCTCATGCGGTTTCATTTTGATCTCGGTATATTCATCCACTCCTAAGGCTCGTTGGAAAGCTCCCGAGCCCTTTTCGGCTAAGAATAACACACCAGTAGGTTCAGTGTCGGTTGGACTTGGTATACCTTTGAGTGGTAGGTTGGGCGTTCCGATGACCCCGAGTACCGCTTCTCCATCGACGATCAAGGCAAGACAGATCGCATATTGTCCACCGCGTAGGAATCCTTTGGTGCCATCGATCGGATCGAGCGTCCAAAACCGTCGATTCTCGCCCGGTTTACCCCCTGCACTTTTGCCCAAGTCAATTAATTTCACCAACTCGTCTTCAGTCAACGCCGGTTGAGATCGAAATTTCGACCATTTCTCTTCATCCGTTGGTATACTCAATCGATCTTCCTTCAAACCTTCATTCGTGAAGTCGATGATCTGCTGTAAGTGTTTCTTGTCTGTTGTCTTCAACAATTCCGATGAATCTTCTTCTCCTACAATCTCGTCGTCTGGGAAGTACTTCGAGAGTATAAAATTGAGCAACGCTTGAACAGTGTAGTCTCCAACTAGATGAACCGCAGATATAGGTCAAGTGCATTAGTATCCCCCTAAATTCAACAGATTGACAGTCTGTTCATATTTATCAAGAGTCAATGGATGGAATTGTAGGTGAACACACCGGTAACAGGACTACGATCGACTTTAGTGATCGAGGCTTGATTGTTGTCCCCAGTTTGCAGGCCCGGCCGAATCAGCTTATCAAATATCCTTCGGGTGACGAGGGAGGCCTGTAAGACGGCCGCGACTGCAACCTCCCGTTCTAATTGATATCCCGATTGGATTGGAATCACCATCGCCTTGGTTGAGTTTCGTTGATCGAGCAGTTGAGGTATCGGTTTTGAATGAAGGGTCCTACTGCATCCAAATAGTCGACTCGATGATATTCCGATTCTTTGAATCTGGAAAGCTGCCGGCATCTTTCAACCAAATTTAAAGTTTCAATATGTACCCTCGCCCCTGATCGACATTCGACATGACCTTAGTTTGGAAGCTACTCTGTGTATCCCCATTTATCTTTTCAGAGTAGCTTGGAGCCTCTTGAGTTTTTTTATTTTTGTTATGCATTAAAAAGTCTGTTTTATCTTCTTTTTTTCAGGGATTCCGTCATATGTATCCCACCTTTTGCTTCTCCCTCCCCGGCCCCTATCCAGCGACCCGATGCCCAGCCATGAACTCCCCTCCCAGCCTGGTTGGATGTAGCAAGGGATGGTCAAGTAGGTGGTGGGATCAGGGTAAACTTTGCACCCTGATCCCAAATATGAGCTTCATTTTGCCTGAGCTCTTCTTAGGAAGAAACTAAGGCTGGATTGCAGTGCCAGGTCTTGGGTCGGATCGCATACCTGTCCAAACCCAAACCTGTAAAATCAAAGTTTTATATCCAAGGCATGGGATCTGCCTGGATCTGTCAAAACAATTTTTTTGCAAATGGTTCCAAGCTTCTCTGAAAAGACAATACATAGCTTGACTACTAACCAAGGGAAGCTCCCCACTTTCCACATGTACTTCCAGTGCCAGGCTCAAAAATACATAAACCAATGTTTCAAACAATGAGGATATGAGGAGACAGAAGAGTAGCCTAAAGCAACACTGCCACAGATACAATACACTGTGTGTATCATGGAGAATTCTGCAAAGCTGCATGGCCAAAAACCAAATTTGTTGAATCTCCTTGCAAATAAAAGCAGATTGGTCAGATAGTTTTTTTTTATTGGGGCTCAGATACATAGTGATACATGGCAGATACGGGCAGATACCGTATCTGTGGCAGCATTGCCTAAAGTCATGTTCACCATTCACACCTTTTCAACCTTCATATCATCAAAGCTGCATACACATTACTATGACAAAATGTTGGCATGTCAGCAAGACTCCAAAAGCCAATCAAATTTCCTTGAGTATCCAAGCAATTGAGAGGTAGATCCAACCACTTGAACTGGAAAGTCTGTTTTCTTTTTGCTGGTTCATGTTTGAGAGAACTATTTCTCTAGAAAGGGTGGAGCCTGATCAAGGTCTTGTTGGACTTGTCTGTCCATGCAATTAATTTCTTTTATTTTCCCACAACTTAAGATAATGATTTAACTGAACTCACCTTTTGAATATTGTTTTTAGAGAGGGTGCTATATCCAAAGGGCACTCCCTATCAGAGCATAATGAGGTATCTTATAACTCTTCACCTGCAAGTTTCCTGATTGGGTGCATTTATTGCTTTAGGCCTCCTTTGAAGCCAATATACCGTGTTTCCCAAAAAGCTTGGACACAATTCACTTTTTTTAATCACATTTCGTGGATTTAGCTTTTTTATTTGATTAATTTCAAATCTGTTTCTGTCTGTGTTATCCTATGGCTTTTGAGCCTCTTCTTGGCTCATGTGACAACCCAGTGCCCAGCTGGCCCCTCCCCTGAGGCAGAGGGGAGTGACCAGCAGCCTTGTGGGTCAGCCGAATATGGTCATAAATCCCTCTGGTTCAGAATATGACCTCGGTTTTTTGCTAACTCTATTTCAAGAGCACCTAGTGGAGCAGGTTGGCCCCCAAGGTAGTTTTAACCCTGGGTGTTATCTGACAGGTGTCAAGATAAAACCCAAAGGACAAAATCAAAATATGGTATTTCTCAAATCCAATCAAAATCAAAATTGGCCCAAGGTTTTCGAGAAAAACAGTAGATATAATGTGGATTCTTGTGACATCTGATAAAGTGTTAGCAGACCTGATCAGATGTCACACAAAAATTGCCATATATTGCTCTCATCAGAGCATCCGCATCAGCAACAATGGGCCACTACACTAAATGGCCCACTAATGTTAGCATAATAGCCCTCAAAACAGTGTGCCAAACATGTAGTGCTAGTGTCACTATGCTACGCTACACTGTGCTACAGTGCTTTTAGCCGCAAAAACAGCCCAAAAACCGCTAAAATACACCGTAGAACAGCATGGTATTAGTGAGCCCATTTTTGCGGCCCAGCATAGCATTAGCACAGTTGTGGCAGAATTCTGCTGTGTTATGCTAAAAATTAGTGGAATTCCACCACGTTACGCTGCACTAACGGTACCATCAGCGTAGTGGACCCATTGTTGGAATAAGCTATGCTAAACCGCACACTGAAGCTAATTCCAGGAAGGTTGTTGCAATGGGTGTGGAATTTGCTTCAGGAGAAACCACTGGATATACCAAATCCATACACAAACTCAAACTCAAACAGCATTTTTGCAGTGAACTTACTATTTTGGCACAAGTTTGCAGATGGATTTGCAAGCTTAACCTGGGTGGCAACCTTTCTGGAATGAGCTGTATGCTACATATAGCAACAAAAATGCCTCATTAGTTTGGCTATGATCCCAAATCTTGCCAGATTTTCTAGCTTTCAGTGCCAACCCTCTCTAATATTGGGGCACAGCAATTATGCTGAGACATCCTGCATATTTAAATTTTACTTCACAGAACCTTGTGGCTCATCAATGTAGCATCATGAATGCTACACCCTGTTGGAATCACACTTCACGTGTTATCCCTTCCAAAAGGAGAGGTGCGGGTATGTTGATATCTTTTAGTTATCAATCTATCTAGAAAATCAAAATCTTATTGATCATGTTTTATGATCATAAATAGATACTAGCTGCTCACATGATGAGCAAGATAATGCCAAGTGAATGGCTTGTGATTTGAATCATGATGTCACTGACGTCATGAGTCTAGATAATGAGATGAGCAGATCATTGAACTCTAAGTGAGTTTTGATGATCATGATCCAAGGATCAAAGATGACAATCCCAATCAATTGCAGCTTCTTTTCTCAGGACATCAACATCTCATTCTAGCTCTCGAATCACAAACACCTCAACAAGCAAATTGGCCGGCCAAATTTTGCCACCGATACTTGGTGAGTAATGACCCTAGCCTTTCATTATGTGAAAGAGAACTGATCAAATGAATACTTTAATCATTATTGAATTTAGATTCCGTTGTCAGCAATAACTAAGCAAAGCAATTCATAAAATAAGGCAATCATACTATCCAATCAAGTAATGTTCTTACTTGACTGTTTGCCTTCATTATTCATAAGAAGAAAAAGAATTAATATTGATGCTAACCAATCATCAAACTACTTCTTTTTTTTCTTTTCTTTCTTTTCCAATTGAAAGAAAAGCTATTATTATCATCATTTTAAACTTTGATCTCAAAGTCTCTTATCACATTCAGCCTAGATTAATTCTGCCTTCAGGTAAAGAATAAATCTTCTTATCATATTTATTTCTTATGTCAAAAAACTTGTATTTATTAAAAGATTATTTTAACTTACAAGAAATAAAACATCTTCAGTTTTCCAAATCCTTTCACACCCAATGTCAGAGCATCTCCATGGGAGTCACTAATTTTGGGTTGCTATGTTCTCAAGATAGCAACTGGAATTCAAGATTAGAAGACCCAAAGTGCTGAGGCACACACCAAGCATTGTTAAGATGAATTCAATATCTGGTGATTGGGCAAGGGGGGATGTGTGGTGTTTGGGTTTCACAGAAGGAACACAGAAGTAGCCTGCAATCCTCCTTGCATCCAAAGTCAATATCTCGTATTCAAGTTTGAAGACTGGATAGAGATTGAGGAAGGAAAATGTAAAAAAGTGACCCAGATGGCTGCTTTGGTGGGTTTTCTTCTTTAAGTTTGGGTCACTAAATTTGGGATAGAGACCCAATATAGAAACCCCTGTGGAGATGCTCTCACTGAGTCAATATCCCTTACCACCTTGGAAATCACCATCAAGTTCAATGCAAACCCCTCACCACCACCTTCTTTCAAGATAAATATCTTTCTCTTCAACACTACAGCAGCAGAATCACACGGCTTTCCAACTGAACTGGCTATGCAAAGAATATGGACATGAAATCCAATCTATGTGTATACTGAATGCAAATAAGCATGATGGTTTCTGCTTCTCTTGTTAATTTTTTCACTTAATCAATCTTTTTCTCCTATCACTCTTTTTATTTATTTTTCCCTTTCTCTTATTTTGCATGTTTGAATATTTTTGTTTTTTTGCTCTATTTTTCTGCTTTGCAAATGGAAAGTGTATAGATCTTTTTTCTCACTTGAAATTGGTTTTCCTGGAGGGAGCAAGAGCACATAACAATTAAGAAAGATTGAAGCAAAAAAGATAGCTACTTGAAGTGATTGGAGCAATTGGCTTTGATAACAAGAAAAATTTCTGCTCATCAGATTGTTTGTTGAAGTCGGCAAGCCTCTGGGCAGCATCCTTGAGTTGAAAGAAATGACACAACATATTGCAGTGATTTCAATGTGGTGCTTGATTGTGGGTTGCTAGCACAGTCAAGGGGTGGTTGGTTCTGAAAAGGCTGTGACCAATGTGGAAAGTGTGGGACAGTTGCTATTTCACATGGATAACCATTAATATCCTCCCTAGCTTTGATCCGCACTGATGCAGATGCTCTTATATTGCTACCAAACAAGGACTAAAATCTCATAAGTAAGAAAATCTGGTAGGAGGGAAAATGAATAGCCTTCTAAGTTCCCGGTTTCAAGATAGTGTTCTTAGAGCTTGGAAAGACTTTCCAATTCATCTTTTAAGCTTTTTAGGAGACCCTTCAACATATATTATCATGAAATTCCTCCCGCTATG